CAATTAAATATATGAAAGCAGTATCTGATCAGAATGATATTTGAATATTGTTGCTATAAAAATGAAAATATTATTTTAAAAAGCTTTCTCTTCTTTAGGGTTAGAGATATGAAGCAATGCTGTAATTGATCAGTTATAATGAATTATAGCAAAAAATGCCATAATTCATTATAATTACAATCAATTACGGCATTGCGCTTACTACTATTTAAGACTAAGCATATTCTAATTAAGAATACCCATCTTAATTGTATTTTAATATTTAATGTTTGGTTATTATATTTACCATAGTGCACTGACTAAAAGACCCAGATATATTATACAGCAGCGAGCCAGTACCACTGCACTTACAATAAGCAGTCTAAAAATTTTTTAAAAAACCTTTATTTAATTAATAGAGGTCTTGTTTTGCACCAGGTACTTTGCAAGAGGGAATATTGAAAAAGAAAGATACTTTGGTCAATGCACTACAGTATTTCAGAAACCCATTTCTATAGTACCGGACAGTGAAAACTATCCATTTTTTTCAGCATTGTTTAAAGTTTAATAACTTCACAACAAGTAATTATTTTAAAAATCCCTCTTACAAATTTTTTATTTGTAATCTAAACTACAAATCTGTAAAACAGATTTTTGATATCTTGCTTTTTAAAGAAGTTATAAGGGTTTAAAGTTTAGCAACTTTTATAGTAAAGCAGAAATTTGGCGCAGGACAATCGACCAATTAGATTAATACAAATCACATGCTCATAATTTGATTGGTTAATATTTATTATTAAAAATCTAAAATTTGGTGTTTATTATATAAAAAAAAATATTTTTATATTTTTAACCAATCAAAATTTTGTTATACAAAAATTAGCCAATTAGAATTGTTATAAAATTCTCAAATTTGGTGCTCTAAAAAAAAAAAAAAAGGATAGTTTTTGCTATCTGGTACTGTATTACTTATTTTATATAGATTCATTTTTAAAAATATTTAAAAACATAGATATAATTACTTTATATAAACTTTTTATTAGGAAATACTATTTAAAATTTTTTTTAATATATTTTAGCTCGTGTCTATACTATATCTCGAGAAGACTTCTCATTGACACTATAACAAAAAGATTGTCAGTAACACAAGCAATGGCAGATAACATCTGAAATCCATTTCTGATAAGAATATCTATAGTTTGGTTTTTAATGAAGAATGCTCTATATCATTCTGCTGATAAGTCAATAATATCGATAATATACTTCTGATACTCCTTTAGGACCATAAATCCATAAATAGAGTTGCCAGATGCATTAGTCCAGCTATCTAGACAAATTGTAGCATCAGTGTAAGTTGACATTGTAGTTAGTTTTTTTTGAAGACAACTAGAGAACTTTTCTGTCAAAATATGTTCCTGTAGCATATCTCTGAAAGGAAGTTGATAACCTGGAGCTAACTCTTGAAGAAAATCTTGTAAATAGAGATTTTCAACAAAGATAAAGAGAATATTGCTATAGATGATGGAATTTAAGAACTTTTGATAGAGTTTTTCAGATTAATTACGAATTATAGGCTTGATACACCAATTAATGATACTTTCTTGTTTAGTAGATGCAGATAAAAAGAGTTCTTCTTGATTATCTTTATTTGTAATTACATCTTGACTATGTTTAATTCTTTTGCATTCTAGAATTGTTTCCTTAGAGGCTTCTTTGAGATAATTGGCTATTTGGGTAGCTGGCTAGCTATTACACTTGATAACATGTTGATGAAGCTTATCTGGCTTGTCTTCAAGTTCAGACAAGCAATACTTATACTTAGCTGTATATCTATTTTCTGTTTTTTTTTTAGTTGAACACCAAAATCTGGTCCATCAATGGCCTTAACTAGGAAGTGTATTAGTGAAGTTCTTAGGAGGTTTTATAATTTGTTAAAAAAAAGAAATATATACAAAAATTTTCTTTTTATTATTACTTTTGAATCATTTTATATATTAAACCTATTGTTACTATATTAACTTATTGTATTATGCAAGATAATACTATCTATGCATTAGTATAATATGCTTATATATCTTATTTCAAAATAATAAATCTAGCATATATAGAATACAATCACAATACTATGAAACCTATAAAAGTACTAGGTTTAATATATACATATGCAATTTGGGCTTTTATTATTAAGGTACTTCATCATTTCTGTAAAGTGCACATTATTTTGGAATGTAATGGGCTTTTGGATCAAATAATTTATATTAAAAATTTTATAGTTTAGATATAAGACAGGTAAATAAATAAGTTTACTAAAAAAATCAGTTTATGAGATTATTATTAGCTTTTTAAACTTTATTTCAATTGAAAAATTTGATCGATATTTGCAGTAAGTTAAAATTTTTTTGTATATTTTGTAAGCTAAGAATATTTTATACCTATATTACATTTTTTATATTTCATATTTGAGTATTTTTATATTTATAGGGCATAAAAATGTAAACTGTTATTTATCAGATACAAATTTAATAGTAAATCTACTAGATATCTATTAGATTTACTTCTAAATTTAATATACGGTTTATATCCCTAATAGAGTGAAAATGAATTTATAAAGGTCTTTAGTTCAATAGGTAAAAAAGAGCTTCAGATATTTGGATCTCATAGATTTAGTTAATTGTTAAGTATAGTATATAGATATTACAAGTATTAAGAGTTATACAAGCAATAAGCATTTTAAAAGCTTTATTTTAACGCGTATAAAATAAATATATACTGGATTCTTAGTTTAATTTTGATCATGTTCTATAAAGCTTAATAGATATTGTGCACAAATTTTAAAATTCTAATTATACTTGGAACCTTATATAGTGCTTGTTATCAATTGCAAGAGTAATTATCAAAAGATTTTTTTTGTTAAATATAAGAATAAAAAATAAAAAATTACTATTATAGAGTATTTGATTATTCAATTTTTGGCCAATAGGATTGACCGATTGTATCATGTGACTTGGCATGCCTTTTGCTTTTTGGCATGCCCATGTCTCTGTACCCCTATCCCTATTACTAACACATGACTTAAAATATAACTTATATTTTACAATAGGGTATACAATATTATATAATTAACAAATCTATGTAAATCATATATATAAATTATACTAAAAGAATTTTTTTTATAATCTATGACTTTTCCAAAATTTATATAGTAAAATACATTTTTTTAAATCACTACTCCTCTTTCATTTTTAATGATAGAGATATAATTTTTACTTAAACTAATAGAGAATAGATTATAGTTTTATGCTTTGGAAGTTTTTTTTTTGATTTTTAATAGCAAATCGCTCAAAAAACTCTTAAAAATTTCTATTATAAAATTATTTTTTTGCTCTATTACAATTTTTAAAAATTTATATTAAACAAAAATTTTTTCTTCATATTAGTGTTTTATATGTTGTCTTCAATAAAACTATATTAATTTTTCTTATAAATGATTAAGTCTTTCTGGAACCTTAGCGATTTGAAAAAACAGATTTTACTAAATAAATTTCGGACAAGTTATAGGCTATGAAAAATCTTTGTATTATGATTTAATATATGACCTGCATAAGGTTTGTTAATTATATGACATCATACACCCCAATTTTACAACCCTACTGCAATTTCATTAGTAAAATTATGAGTAATTCCGGCCTAATTTTTGATAGTCGCTCTTAGCCAATCAAAATCGAGGATCTGCCACGATTTATACACTGTCGAAGCGATGGGTCATATCAAGTAAAATTAACAATCGAAATAACTGTCCTTTATTGTAAGTTAAATACCGATAGAGTCAATTTATTACTAGTCAATACTGAACCTTTTCATTAATACCCAAAAAACAAATACCTGAATATTTTAATAAAACATGCTTTGAGTGGAATATTGAAAATTTTCTTTATCTTAGATCTTTAGAAACAATCGTAGATAAAAATGAAGGACAAAGGAGTAGACGAGCAAAGGAGTTGCTCACTAAATATAGAATGATGTATCCTTTTTGTTAAAAGTATAAAGAATTTGGCAGCATGTGCGGGACCTAGAGGGTCTCGTTCATTCAAGTCTAGAGGACGAGCTACGAAGTTAGTGCTGGGGCGGGGAAATCTAGAGGATTTCTTTCATTCAAGGCTAGAGGCTGACCCGGCACTAACCCCACTGGAGCGGGAAAATCTAGAGGATTTCTTTTGTTCAAGGCTAGAGGCTGACCTAGTGGGGTATAAATATTTAGAGGATATTATTCTAACCTTCTAAGTTTTTCGTTTAGGGCGATTGGCCTGAACGCAAAACAGTACGAAAACATGATAAGTGTAAGATTGGTAACCTCTCAATAAAATCGTTATTAAAAATATAAGAATTTCTATTTACACCTGATGGGTGTATAGCAAAAATTAATAAAAGATTTTTTGTTAAAACTAAAAAGATAAATTATTATTGCATTACAGATTTTTTAATTGGCTAATTGATGTCGAAAAATCACGTGAATGAGAAATCGATTCTATCTGTTTATTACCGGTATTATTATTGTATATACAAGTCACCAATTACAATGAAACTCTCATTATAGCAAATTACTCATTATAATAGAAATCACTTGTCATAATGAAGACCAGTTTATATATAAATCCTCTTTATACAGCGAATTTACTAATAGACTTTCGATATAGTGAAGAAAATATCAAAGCCCGATCACTTCACTATAACGAAAGCACTGCATGTAGTTATTATGGCTAATTCTAAATTTGAAACTTGGCTATATTGACCATGAGAATCGAAAAGTTTAGTATAGCCTTATAAAAACTTAAAATGATAACTTACATTGTAAAAATAGTTTACAGTAAGTATTTATATAAAGTACTTCGATAAAATTGATAATACCTCGGTAAATTAAATTTATATTTATAAATTAATAACAAAAAAAGAACACATAATCACAAAAAAAATTAGATAAAAAATTTTTTACAATAAAAAATATTATTAAACATTAATATTAATTAAGATGCTATATTTGAATTATCAATATTAGATTGATTTTGTCCATCAGTTGCAGTCATTCGATGCCAAACATAATCTTGAGCTATTGATTGAACAGCCAATTTAATAACTGAAACCATTTTAGCTTCTACCCATTCATTCTCTTCATATGGAACATCTAACCAACTAACAGGAAGTGCTTGTGAAAAGGTCTTAAAAGTAAGATTATGAGTTGGATCAGTCAAAACAATGACATAAAATAGGTATTGATCAGGATCAGAAATAGCATCAGATTTGTTTTGGAGAGAATAAGGATTTGCTTTAGTAGGTTGAATAGCCATGAAAACAGGACATATAGATTGCTGCTCTGTGTCATTAATTTTTTCATCCACAATTTGTGGTGGCTTGTAATGTTTCTTGATAACTTGTTCATTATTAGCCTAAACAAAAAAAAAAAATTAAAATTAGAAGGAGTTAAAATATCAATTATACGATAAAAATATAAAAAATTATACCTTGGCAAGACCAACAGCTTCAATAAATCCTTCACAAACATTCAAATCTCTACGTGATTCATCTTCTGGATCACGTTTTATTTCATCACTTTTTCGGACTACGACATCCCCACCTTCTACTTGTTCCATAACTTTCATAAACGCTCTATATACGAGTGATTCTAATCCAACATAACCGACCATATCATGAGATAACCAAACTTCTACAACTTCATATTGTGAAATTGGAGGAACTACAGCGTTAACTACTGACGAAAGAGTACTCAGACTAAGGGTTTTGAGATCGGAACCTTTTAAAAAAATACACGAAAAAATAAATGAAAGATTCAAGAACGCGGCAAATCATAATATAATTACAAACCAATTTTTTCAATAGCTTCTTTATTTACAAAGCCACGAACTTTTTCCTCCAACTTTTTAGTTGCCTCATTAGTGCGTACAGTTTCAAAGGTTTCTAAGGCTTCTTTAACAGAGTTATCAACTACAGTACTTGCAGTTTGGTAGGCAGTGGTAGCAGTAGCTAACAAACCACCCCATGACCAAGCGCCACTTTGTTTTTGAGTTTCAGCTTGATTGGTTTTATTTTCAACAGAACTATTTTGTTTCACAGAAGCATTGCTTTGACTGTCCTGTTTAGGAATTGAATCAGAAGGGTTAGAGGCAGGAGTAGATTGAGTGATTTGATCGAGAAAATCAAGCACAGATTGCGTAGTGTCAGCTGGTGTGCTGCCTGGCGTTCCAGTAGCAGGATTTGCGGTAGCAGTTGTTTGTGAATACGTGTCAAGAGTTTCAAGAAACTGAAGCACATCATCTCGAGAATTAGAAGGAGTCTTTGTTTCCGTCATTGTTAAATATTCAACTTATTTCAACTATAATTTGAATAATATCTTAAAAGAAGTTTGCTGAGTACATAAAAGGCAGAAGATATACTGTGTTACAGTCCACTTCAATAAATGTGTCATCCTCTCAAAACTTAAATTACTTAACGTTATTAATAATACTGTAGAACTTGTACGTAGAACTTTCAGATTTCCCACCACAGTTTTTTTTATTGGCTGACAATAGATGTGAAAATTGATGTACTATCCACTTTAGCGTTAGTGAATTTTAAAGCAACTTACACAGAATTACAGTGCAGAAATCAACAAAGATCAATTGCTGGGCAAATTTTTTGTAAAGCTGAGTACTTTATTATACAGAAATCTGATCTGTGATTGTTTCGTAACACAATCTAGTTAGAGATCGCAGACAATGCTCATGACTAAATATGATAAAATATAAACTAGCTACGTTAAGTAAATAGAGAACAGAGTTTAAATGGATTCGGAATTCCTTAGTTAAACTAGCTCTGCTAGTATTATATAAACCTGTAACCTAACTCTAATTTAACTACAGAATATATCTCAAAATTTGTATAATGAAAACGTATCACGTGTGCGTAAAAATTAAAAAGGATCAAAAATTGGCGGACAAGTCTCCCTTGTCCGATTTTTCAATAATATCTAGTCTATCAAATAGTTCTAAGTTGAAACCTTTTGATATAATAAATTTTTTTTCATTTCTGCTTGTCCATCCTTGGATTGTTATGCCAGGATCGCGTACCTGAAGTTTTTAATTCTATCACAAAATTTACATCTATCATATATTATTTCACTGTTTTCTCTATCAATTAAACTTTCTATAAAGCTATATATATATCTTTATATGGATTTTTCAATAATGAACACTAACTTCGTAATTGTAACAAATGGCAATTTTTTTAATTTTCATTAATTTTCAGCTTTTAACAGATCGAATCCATTCTTTAATACTTTTCAACACCGATCCCCTGAAGATAAAATCACCAACTTGAAAAATATTCCCCCTTGTCAACAGCTTTTTGATAAATGAACGCCATACATTCATCTTTTATGATTCCAAAACCGAACTGATAACCATATACATTCCATGTACAGTACACTCCATATACATTCCATATACCTCCATATAAATTTCATATACATTCCGCTAGAATTACACATATCCCATATCCGCAAGTTCTTTTTTTTTTTGATTATTGAGAATAAAATATTTGTTTGCAAAATTTTTTTCAGTCTCAATTTCATTTTCATAACAATAACTGATCATGTATACAGTACTCCAAGCCATAAGATAAAATGACAGCTTCTTCACAGTGGTTAAAATTCAAATTTAAAATTATATTCTCAAAAGAGCTTAATTTAAATTGTTAGTGTTCTCAAAAAACTTTTAATATTCTTCTAAAGAGTTGAATTAATTCGGATAGCCTATATTAAAAACCCAACTCTAAGACTCTTTACACCAGCTTGAGTCAAATTATTTAAACTATATAATTATTGTAGCATTACTTAATTTTAAATAACTGAATTATGCAGTACATAGTACAAATATATAGCTCGAGTTGGGCTCGAGTTAGACTCTAAACTCAACCCAAATGACCTTTTAGAGCACTAGTTAATAAAATTGAATTATTTTAATATTTTTTGAGAACATTTTTAAGTAATAAAATGATCTCAAATAAGAGAATCTTATTTTAAATATCAATGTTCTTAAAAAAAATTGTATGTTCTTTGAGAACCATGAAAACACTGAATTTTAAACACTGCTTCTTCATATTGTTTGAATACCTTTCACTCATCTTTCTCATCCTTCTCAGCTCCAATTCTATCTAGATAACAATTGCCAAGTGCAAATATTCCATAAAATTTTATTCATAAAACCAGTAAATTCGCAGATTTTTGACAATAAATGCTTCTTATAAACGTTCACCAACCATAGACATTCCAATAACATCACTATATTGGCAGATTTTTGATAATTAATGAAATTAATGAATACCATACGTTCATTCTTCTATTCTTATAACATTCACCAACCATAGAATTCATCATATCAGCAGATTTTTGATAATTAATGAATGCCTTATTCGTCCTCTTTGACTCCAACTCCAGAAATATTGCCTGAATATTTTATTTTTTCTAATCATTGATTTCTTGATAATTTTCCTCTAGGTTTCTTTTTTTTGGATGTAAAAAAAGCAAATGAAAATTTTATGCTGGCTAAGTATATTTTCGTTATCGTTATTTAGGAACAGTCCAACTTGGTTTATTTTTAGTTTGGTCACGTCAAGTCTTTCTTGGCTTAATCGCGGCTCAGTTCAAAGACTATTTAGAGCTTTAATGTCTAAGAAATGTCGGTTGTCCAATTATATGTTAAAATGTTAAAATCAAATCTAATCGATTTTAAAAAAACAGTTCTAAACTCTACTTCTATATTTGTTGCTAATTATAATATATACAATTTAAATTTCCACTATCATATATATTTTTTAAAGAACCAACCCTGACTGGACCCAATGATAGTAGTTTATCGAGCTCTATTCGGAACACCATTGACACCATCGCCAACCGGATTGCAGCTGGTGATAGATGAATTAATCAGAAATTAAAACATTGCCGCATATAATATTATTACAATTTATTATCTAGAAGCAATTTAAATGAAATTTAAATTATATCATCAGATTTACTCAAAATAATATCCAATTTAGAGAGAACTAAAATAATGACCCAACGTATACTGTAGTCTTTTTAACAATATTTCTCAAAACTTCAAAACTTGATCGCTTATATAATCATTCCAGAAGGTTATCACTGTTCAAGATATGAATAGATGTAAATCACAAATTTAATGAAAATATCATGACATTTTCCAATTTTTCAGAGTTTTTAAAGCCTACATTAACTGAATTCTTTCAGAGTGTTGAATAATTTTCTGATAAAGAAAACCCCAGATTTCAGAATCTATAATCTCTTACGAATTATGAATATACGTAGAAATTCTAAAGATATTTAGTGTGTCTTCAAAATGAATAAAAGTATTAATATATATCCTTGATTAGGTTTTTCAGAAGTTTCGTCCGGTAATTAATAAACTTAAAAGCCCGAAGTCTGTTTTCCCTTAGCGGCCCTCATATAAAACCATTATTCACACTTTTTAAAAATAATTGCAAATATTCATTTAGAGTGGGCTTTAAAAACAGGAAAGTATTGTAAATTTTTCATAAGTACTTTCAAGGAAAACCTTTAAGTATGTAAACCGCTTAAATTACATAATTCATATTATAATTTTTGAGGTTAAGTCCGGTACAGTGTTTTTCCTCGGCAATAAGGTAAAATATTACGGGTGGGTTAGATCAAATATGTAAATGTTGATGTTGATTGATTTTAATATACTGTATAAAAATTCAAATAGAATTAGATTCATGGGAAGAAAGCTAGATTTATCGTAATATATTATAAGCTGGATAATTATCGGGGAAAAACTAATATTAAGAAATTAATACCATCGGAAAAGTAATTGTTGACAAAATGTCAAAAGAATATTTATCTGGAAAAATAATCTGTCGACAAGTAATACGACGATTTTTGTGAAATAATTTAGTGAAATTATACAAATTCGGGATCATTAACTATTATTGCAGCCGATGCTATGGTTGCCGCGAGGAGACTATGCTTCGAGCTTTAAATTTATAATCTACTGGGCTCAAATCCCAAAAATCTAATGGGCCGAACCCGTTAAGTTATGAATTTAAAGCCCGAAACGTATTTTTCTCTTGGTGGCACGACAGTATAATTAGTAATACATAATATGTTGCTTTAAGTCATATCAATGCTTTGATCTTTATACGTAACTTAATTTTAGAAAACCAATATCTGATATGTTCTCTTGACATATCGGGTTGGTGAAAGTAACTGGACAGTGAGTGACCTTTTTAATCCTGTAATCGCTATGATTATCCATTTTAACGATTAGTAATCATTGTAATAAATTAAAAATTATTACAATTTTTTAATTTATTACAATGATTACTAATCGTTAAAATAATAATCATAGGATTACAGGATTAAAAAAAGATCACTCACTGTCCAGTTACTTTTCACTCGAATACGTTTAGTAAATAGCATGTGATTTTTTTCAAGGAATTACTGTTAAACAGATAAGGTAAACATTATTGAATATTATTAAATTGTCTATAATCTAACTAAAATTTTTCAAAATTTATACTCAACCTTGCTTGTATTTTATATTTATTCATTTTCTTTTCGAAACTTTTAGAATATCTTTAGCCTATTCCATATTTTATATTTAGACTAAATTTTAGTAATAAAATTTTATAATTTCTCTTGCACATTATTTTTTGCACAAGCTTCTTATTCAAATTTAATTGCACACGTGCATATACATTTAGGACTTCTTTTGTACAAAAAAAAAAACTACTTGCATATATATCTTGTGCCAGCCAATTTTAAACCCTAACTACAAGTCTTTGATATATAAGCTTTATTTTTGAATTATTACTTGAATTCTTTTCTCTTTAGCTTTCGAAATTAATCTTGCTAAAACTTGTAATAGGATTAACAAAGCATCTTTTTACATTAACTATTTTTCTTGTTATCTTTTGTGTTTTTTTTTATTTACTATAATTGAAATCTTATAAAAAAAATAATATTTATATCAATTTATTAGTTAAAAACTTGATTGTTTTTTGATAAATTTTATTTTATTTTAAAATTATTTAATTTTCTATTATATACAAAAAATAGCTTTGTCAATATATAATACTTTTTTCTTCTTATATCTTAAAGTTAAGACTATTAATTTATTTTTTTGAATATAAAATCATCTATATAATTGTATAATAAAAAGTATATACTATATTATATTATATTCATTTACCTTGCCTATATTTTTTGTTGAAAATACTATATAAATAGAGTATAAACTTCTAAATTGATTAAAACTATATAAATATTATTCACTTGTG